TGGAATTCTGGGAGTTGAAGTCCACACATCTTAAAGTTGTCAAGGTTGAGAAACACTGCATTATAACATTGGTGCAAATGTGAATCTCCCCTTCTTTAACCATTTACCTATATGACATATTTGCATGCTGCAGCAATCTCCCACAAACAATTTTGCTCTTGATCAACCTTTGTGTTCTTCTGAATTACATTCTTATCACCAGAGAACTCTCAGCTGGACAACAGAAATGGATCGTGATGGTCCTTCCCGTCCCTCAAACTCCTGTACTTCAACCAGAGAAAGACGAATGGCTGCTGACAATTATAAAATGGGCTGAGAACTTCAAGGCTTCTTCCATATTTGAACATGCAGCTTATTGTAAACAGCAACCCCACATGGATGACATAAACCAATTTAGCCACTGAACAGTGGACAGATTCTAATTCTGAAGCTACCAACTGTTAACCCTTTGTTACCCCAATAGGTATAATTCTTCATTCCCACCTGTAACAGTTTCTATGACACATATAAATACAAACTACATCCCAGAAGTATAAATTAAAAGTATACACTGATTTTACTTTTAATATAATTTGAACAAGGGTGTAAAAATGCAGGTTGAGACTGGATGCAGCCAAATTAACCCTTGTTTTGTGACTCCAAAAGGATCCCCCCCACCAGAGTGGGATAACAGATTTTGGCCTTTTGGTGCATGGGGAGGGGGCAGTTGCATGATTAAGGAGCAAAATGTGTGCAAAGACTTAAGGCACCCATTTTGCTTCTTAAAACTCTCCTCAACCCCCACTCACCCACCCCAGTCCTGGCTCTGCTCACTTTTGAAATGCAGCTACTAATTCACTGGGCCTGATTTAATGCTTCATGCGGATGAAAGTTGCACACCCCTGATTACACCATCGGCTTAGATCAGCCCCCGCTCGGCAGTGAAGGTCCTAAGGCTCTTGAGTCAATTGCCATCACCTAGCCCAGTGTTTCTCAACCCTAGCGACTTTAAGATATGGGGACTTCAACTCCCAGAATTCCCCAGCCAGCATGTGACTGAGGAATTCTGGGAGCTGAAATCTAGACATCTTAAAGTTGCCAAGGTTGAACAACACTGACCTAGCCTACTTTACTTGGAAACTGTGAAAATTAGAACTGGAGGGATTCAAGCCTACAAGCCGACAGTGGGTTAAAAGTGGAATAAATATTACACTGTACATCTGCTTTACTCCCACGTGTCATTGGTCCTATCAAGGTGATGCTTCTGTTTTAAGCAGCCTCCCAGGTAGTCCCAGAGTAGCTTCCTGACTCAGCTTTTAAAAAGACAAATCAGAAACTCAGCAAGTCAAGCTCCTTTAAGGCAGAGTCTATTCCTTGACAAGAAGCCGAATGCCCCTTCAATGATTCAGCCACCGGCGCAATCATTTAAAGCTCCTTAACCAGTTCCACTGCTTCCCTTACAACACTCAGTTAACACAAAACTGCTCCCAATGTGCTACGATGCTTTTCAAACTCCTGTCTGCTGATACCCATCACCTGTCCAGGAACAGGACTCAGCAAGCAGGTGTCCCCTAGACTCTCTTTCCTACCCTGCTTCCTTCTCTTTTACTCTGCTGCAGCTCTTTATTTATAATGTGTTTAACATCCACTAGACTCTGTTAATAATGTGTCTAATATTGTGCCAGACACTGTACTAAAAAAATCAAACAAATGCCTACCAACTGTTCATAGTCAAGCAGAATTAAATTGTTTTCAACCAATCTGTCATCCAAAGGCAGGATGTTTTAATACTAAATAGTGATCCCACATAGTGTTAAGATCCAAACAAGAGAGATTAATGTACAAGAGAACAGTGAGGAGGAGAAATGCGCATGCAACTCATCTTTGTTGCAGCAGCTCCTGTTGCTGGAGAGACAAGCCATTTCTAAGATACTGAATGATGGCTTACTTTCTCAGTATCAGTTAAATGCAACCATGGTTCTCCCCTCTACATTCATGGACCTTCATGAGAGCTTTCTACCTACTTCACAACTCAGGCACATGAATTATATCCCTTTTCCTACAGGACAAATTCTTCAAGAAAAAAAAAAGAACTGGAGACTATTGTGGAGGAGAGAAAGGGTGGGCTTAACTCTTTTTTCACCAGTTAGTACTCCAGACCATGTGTGTGTAGCCCATTCTTTCTGGCTAGGATTGTAAGACCAGGAATACATGAGACTGCAAAGAAAATAACTTGAGAGGGAAAGATTTGAAATGGATTTGCCCACCAAAGCTACCATAATAACTTTCTTTCTTCCATACATCATAGAATTTAAGGCAGCAAGTCCAACTTCCTGCTCAGTGCAGGAATTCAAATTAAACCCTTCCAGAAAAATGGCTGCTGAACCTCCACTTGAACAAGCCACTATAGGAAAACCACTACCTCTTTATATAATCAGTTCTACTACTTACTGTTGGGAAGATTTTTCTAACAGTCAATTAAAATCTAATACATAAACAAATATGCCGTTCTATAGCTTAGGTCAATAGAATAATGGAAAGGAGAGAACAGATCTTGGCCTTCTTCAATGTGACCTTCATTGTGGAATCAGGAGATCCTGAAGGATGCTAGGACATTCTCCTCCCATCCGCCCATTTTTCCCAGGCTAAACATTCTCAGTTTCATTAGTCTCCCACCATTCATAGGATTTAACCCTATAACTGCCAAATCAATGGGAGGATTTGGGAACAGGCATTTGAGAAGCTCCTAAAGAAATAAGCACCATGAGGTTGTCTATGTTGGAATACCATCCGCCCATTTTTCCCAGGCTAAACATTCTCAGTTTCATTAGTCTCCCACCATTCATAGGATTTAACCCTATAACTGCCAAATCAATGGGAGGATTTGGGAACAGGCATTTGAGAAGCTCCTAAAGAAATAAGCACCATGAGGTTGTCTATGTTGGAATATCAAATAACTTGCTTGTTCAAGCTGCCATCAGATTAAAAGAAAACTTCATCAATGCTCTTCTCTATGATGCAATGCTCATCCTCTATGAAGAGGGAAAAAGGCATTTATGTTTTCCAGAACTTTTCATAAGCAAAATACCAGTACAGTACAGGCAAGTTCTTGGTCTGTAAACATCATAGGTTTGAGCTCCCAGGTTTCCAAATTAGAATCAGATTCAAAATAGGTACCACAGGCTGACTATTGCAAGTAGTCCCCATGTTAAGAACGCCCAGTTTAAGGACAACCCATAGTTAAAAACGGAGCCTACTGTAGCAAAATTCAAGTTAAATACACAATGATTCATGTTAAATATACAATGGTTTGAGTTCATTACACGATATTACTTGTACAGTATTATACATTATTTATATGGCTTATATGCAAATTCAGCTTAAGGACAGACCTTGGGAACAGAACTCATTCTTAAACTAGGGACTACCTGTATCATATTACGTTACCATCTGGGACAAACTAATAATGAAGCTGTGAACCTCACACACACAATCCTTCACAAAGCAATTCTCTGCAGAGCTACAAGCCTCACTGAGTTCAAAAGCTTGCTTCTAAGTAGGTATGGGTAAAACTGCAGCTTTAACCTGTCTAGGTGTGCTATAATAAGAAAAAGAAGATGCACTGAAGCTAGTACACCATGAAGGCTTACTGAATACTGAAGAGACCAAACTGGCCTACAAGAAAGACCAAATGAAGAACAGAAAAAAGACATGGCAAGGCAAGTAAAAAAGAAGATGCACTGAAGCTAGTACACCATGAAGGCTTACTGAATACTGAAGAGACCAAACTGGCCTACAAGAAAGACCAAATGAAGAACAGAAAAAAGACATGGCAAGGCAAGTATTGCATTGCCAGTACACAAAAAATCTAGCAGGCAAGGCAGATAACAAGACCTGGCAATGGCTAAGAGCAGAAAAGTTGAACAAAGAGACAGAGGGGCTAATTCTGGCTGTGCAAGACCAAGCCTTAAGAACAAATGCATACAACGCCAGAATTGAGAAGACAGCACAGACAGCAAATGCCACCTCTGCAAAGAAGCTGAAGAAACAGTGGACTACCTAATTAGCTGCTGCAAGATCGCACAGACTGACTACAAACAACAGCATGCAAAGTAGCAACAATGGTGCACTGGAATATCTGCAAGAAATACCATTTGCCTGCAAGC